AAGTTGCAAAACATAAAGTTGAGACTCGATTGATTGTAATGCAAGAATTGGAATATCTTTGTGAAAGAACAAAAAATTCTATATACATGAGTTTGTAGAAAAACATAATCACTCCTTACAAGTTGATGCGATCGCACATGCCTGCTTTGCATAGTAAAATTATCCTGGTTCAAACATATGAGATTGATATGACTAAGAATTCTAAATTGCAAAAGAAGTCATCATATCAACATGTCACCATACTTGTAGACCATAGAACTAAGGTAAGAGGTACAGTAGGTTGAACGCAAAGAATTACTTCAAGGTAAGAAGATAAAGAAGTATAGTTTATAAAGAAGTTGGTTGTCTAATGAAATATTTTAACGATAATAATTAAATAATTTATAATTCTTTCATGCATATAAGATGGATGTAGATGAACAAATAACAAATATATTTTGGGTTGACACAAAGATGATATTAGATTATTCATTTTGGTGAAGTTATTCCTTTAGCCACTACATATTGTGTCAATTGTGTAAATAGGCCTCTTGCATTCTTATCATGTTTTAACCATTATAAAAGTGCTATGATTTTTTTGTGCAACTTTATTGGGTAATGAGACAACAAAATCTTTTAAATGGTTTTTTAAGACATTTTTATAAGTATACAATTAGGAAAAAACCAATAATTACATTTACTGACCAAGATCAGACAATGGCTAAGGCCCTTATGAAAGTCATACCTAAGACACATCATACTTTATCACATAATACTTGATGCAAAATATAATAAAATACATTATTAATTTGATGAAAGGTAAAAGGTATTTTTTTAAGAGATTTTAAAATATGCATGTATGACTTTGATATATTGAGTGACTTTGAGTAAGTGTAGACCAATATCGTTCAGGAATACAATTTTTTGACAATAATATTCCTCCAAAATTAAAAGACCTTAGGAGTTTTGATATTTCTTGTTCTATTAGTTCTTATTATTTTAATATTTTATAATTTAGGATATAGCATTAACTTAATACCACTTTCTCTTTATCATTATTTAAGTATTAAAGAATTCAAGCCCATCCAATTTTTTTTGTGTAGGTTGCAAATGAAACTTTTATTCATCTTAAAGGCATTGTGAAAAATATACCAATGGAGGTAAATTAATTTCTTTGCAGAATTGATTTTGGCATAATGGACATGAATGACACTAAGGTCACAATAATTTTTGAACACCTATTTTTTTATCCCTAAGGCAATAAAATAACTGACAATAATAAAGCCTTCATTAATGTGAAAAGATGGACACTTACTCTTCAAGGGACAAAGAAGTAACATGCATTTCAAGTTGTCCCTTAGATACTGTTACGAGAATCAAGTGTCCATTAGTAGTTTATTATTAGGATTTAAGCCTAATTAAACTTATTAACTCATGTTTAGCTCATGATTAACATCTATATAAAAAGAGGAAGTTGGAGGAATTAGGAAAATAATTTTTTTTTCTTACTTTCTTCCTTTTGACATCTTTGTTATTTTTTTATTTAGAATTAATTTTAATTCTTTTCTATTTCTTCTCTTTCTTCTTGCAAATTTGTTTTAACTTTTTTAAATGATTACCCTTAAACTTGCCTTTATTAATCCTACAAAGCAAGGTAATATTTTTTATTTTTGATCTAATTCAAAACTTTATTTTTTACATTCTTAATCTTGTTACAAATACTTTTAATTTGATCTCGAATTGCATCATTACAATTCTAAATAATTCACGTATATTGAATTTACAATATCAAAATGTTCATTCGCATAGTTTGGACTTTTAAGATTAAATTTGAAAAGAACTGTATTAAATAAAAAATACGTGTTATTTAATTTGAATTCATAAATTAAATTGAGATTAATTTTATAACTAAATTTGTTTCAGAGTTTATTTTTTGAGGTAAGGGGAAGAAAAAATGGTTATCCTTATATGATAGTTTTTATATGAGAGAAAGAAGATAATTTAGAAACCTTCCAAAATTCTTCTGCTAACATATTTTTAAGTTCTTTCGATTAGGAGAGTTATGTATTAACTCTATTTCTTCCTTCTTTTTTTTCCTTTCTTTTCTTTTATTTTTCAAAATATCTTTTTTTTCTTTTCTTTCAAACTTATAAACAAAATCAAAGTGAAGGGAAAAGAGTGCCTAATTCTAGGAATTTTAAAATATTCATCTATAAAGAGCTCACTTTAATTTTTTACCAAATATTAACTAAATATAATAATTAATAACGTGAACTCATCGTTAGAAAATTGATAATAAATTTCTCTATTATTATACTTTATATTAAATTTAACTTATAAATATGAGATTTAAGCTTAAAAAAAGTTTGTGCTATATTAAAAAAGTAATTAACTCTTCTCTCTAATTGAGGGATCTCTCTCTAAAATTATGTAATCTAGAATTAAATTTCCAACCATTTTGAGATGGTTTTTTTTATTGCATGCTTATAAATTATTAAGTGCATATATATATATATATATATATATATATATATATATATATATATTCCTTAATTATAATATTTCTGTACTTTTAAATAATGAATGGAGCGATTGGGAGCTAAAAACATGTCGGAAAAATTTTGTATACTCTTTTTAAATATAAATAAATGATAAAGAAAAAAAAAAAAGGGAAGAGATGTTCTCTTGACATGCATCATGAGTTTTTCTCTGGCCTGAGGTTGATAAATTACCATCCTTTTAGTTTATTTATAGAGCTTTAAGCAAGTTATTAATTATTTGAGCTCACTAGTAGTTCCATTATTACACGTTTTAATGATTTAAAAAAGATAAAAACTAATTAGTGCTTTTAGAAGTAGAAAAAAAATTCAAATATGAACAAATTTTAAGGAATTCGAAGATAGTATGGTAATGCTCAATTCAAAATTTAAAGTTTTAGGTTGAAGATTGATATTATCAATTTTATGTCATGATATCTATTCTTTATCTATTTCATCTCACTCTCTCCCTTACAAAAGGATGTACTTTGAAACCATCGAGCACATGTAGAATTGACATCTTAATCTCTCACATGAAAGCATTTATATAAATGGTTTTTCTTTTTTAGTTTTTCTTTATAAAATTAATGAATTTTTTTTGTTATTTGGTTTGATTTTATATTTTCATTAGTACGAGTAACTGAATGCACCACCAAAGGTTATGGAAAATCCTATTATGGAATTAGTCATCAAACAAGATTAATTGTTCATTAGAGTACTTGTCTTTTAACAATAAAAAAGAAAATAAACATATATTACCAAGAAAATTTTTATTTTTATCACTTTTAAAAATTAACAATAATTTAATGTAGTTGTATTGTCTTTATACTAATAATTATTTCCTTAGAGCTTAATGGAAAAAAAATATTCCACCGATTGTCTTGTTTCATTAAAATAAAATAAAATACTGTAATTGATCACATTAAGAAACGGTTTGCATTTTCAATATCAAGTTTAGAGTCCCTTGTGGCTAGAAAAAATGTTAATACCTTAATTTTTAATTTAAGAATGATTTTCTATTAATTTATAATTTTTAAATTTATTAAATTTGTTGGCTAGTTTTTTAGCTCAGATTTGGATGGAAGAAAGTCAGTCAATAGTCAATTACTGACTCCAGCTTGTATATAATCATTTAAGGTTGTGTCTTTATTTAGGCTTCGAAAAAGATTATAAAATTTATATTAAAAAAATATTTTAAAAAATTTATAAACAATTTTTTATTTAACTTTAATAATAAAAGGTAATTTTATTTAAAAGATATTTATAAGTATAGTTATTTTTAAAAATTATTTAAACAACATTTTAAAATAAATAAAAAATTGCTTTTTTTTAGATTATATTTAAAAAGTAATAACAAACACACTTGAAGTTTTCTTAAATGATAATTTGAAAATAAAAAAATTATTAAAAAACTTGAAAACCAGAATAAATTTGCTTATTTTTCGCTCATTAATTTTTTTTATTTTTTTTTATTTTATCATGGGGTTAGAGAGGTGAGGGGTTCTTTGGTGGACATGGTGATCGAACCCCAAACTACATACATGTCCCTGTGACTTCAAGAGCCGAGCTCATTAATTTTAAATGCTTTTCGTTCAATTATTGCAAGAAAAACAAGATGCAACCAAACACATGCATGCAAACACCCAAAACGTGAATTAGACGCTATATTGTCTCTTGCAAACCACTCCAATCGTCGTATAATCGATCACAGGTCACTTGGGAATTTAAACAATTAAAAATTAACCTTGTATATTATTATTTTTATATTATATAAATATTTATTTAAATTACATTAAAAAACAATTGAAGATTTATCCCCCAAAATATTATTAAAAAAACACTTTTTTTATTCAGAACGGAGTCCATTTACTAGGAAATTCTAAGCTAAACCAAGCTTTTCAAGTGAATAAGAGTAAGGACATTGCAGGTAACAATGCTGTTACTTGAACTACTTAAACTTGACAAAATATATAACATTGTTTGTAATCATTTCATGACTCAAAAGTATATTAAAAAAGACAAGTTGTTTAAAAACTATTTTTTATATAAAAATAACATAATTATATTTTTTTCATTTATTTTTTTATCATCAATTTGTTTCTATTTTATCATATCTCTTACATTTATTCTCTGTTTTTATCATATTATCTAACATAAAATGGAGGAAATAAGACAGATTGGACGTTTGAAGAAAAACTGATGTATCATAAAACTTTGTATATTGTTGATAAATGAAAAGACAAACTAAAACTAATATATTATGTTACAGTGTTTTAAAAGCAAACATGTAATTTACCAAAATACATATATTCTAAATATATTAAAATGAAATCGAAAAAATTGATAATTACAAAATTTAAGGGAATTCACAAACCAAGTCTCATGGAACTTCCACAAGAAGCTATATAACCTTCCTTACCTTCTAAATTGTTCTATTACGCTTTCTCTCTCTCTCTTTTTTGTTTTTAATTTCTGAAAGGGGTCTCAATTATTAAGCGAGTTGAAGGAATCGCACCTGTGGCGTACCTCTCCTTGGCTTCCCGTTTTAACCTGCAAAACACTAACCTTTTCCATGGCACGTGCGAAGTCCAGAAAGAACCGTGTTTGGTTCGCCGCATACATATCCACAAAGGGCTTCGTCCTCTTATCCGCAAACATGCCACTGTCCGTGCCCAACAACCCCATCCCTCTCTGCAAGTTCTTGTAATAAACGTTATCGAACTTAAACGGCGTCATCACGTCGTTAAACGCTGACATGGACCGGTCCTTGGTAAAATTCTCACACAGCTTCCTCAACCCCGAAGCATAAGCAGGGTTATACGCAGGGTCAATTTCGGAATTCTCGCTAAAATTGAAGATTCTGTTACTGAACTCTTTGCAGTGCGAATACCCTATCGTGTGTGCCCCAACGAGAGCCACCATTTCTTGAATTGAAATCCCTTTCGATGCGAAAATTGAAATCACTTGAGACATTGCCATGTTCGCTAACGGGAATTGGTTTTCTGAACTCGTGGCTTTCGATTCTAAACCGTCTTTTCGGCCTAATCGGAGTTCGAAGGAGGGACCGCCCGCGGCGACGACCAGGTCACGCGCCGCCGTGGCGAGTATGTCGGCGCATGAAACGACGCCTGGACACTCGAGCTCGAGCGCGATCTTGGCGCTCATGACAACGTTGAAGCCGTCGCCGCCGAGGGAGAGGTTGACGTCGGCGTCGCGCTCCGCCGTGTTGAAGGAGTTGGAGGTGACGAGGATGGAGGCGTCGCAGCCGCCGACCATGCAGTCGTGGAAGAAGAGGCGGAGCGTGGCGGCGGCGGTTGCCGGCGTGGAGCTTTGCTTTTTGGAAACGGTGGTTTGGACGATTTCGGAGAATTTGGGACAGGATTTTTGGTAGTAGTTTGTGGTGAGTTCGGGTTGTGCCAAGGGAAGGGACGATATGGAGATAAAGAGGAATAAGAATAAGAAAGGGTTATTGTAAGCCATGGTTTGGGAATTAAAAGTTGTGAATCATTCTAATGAATTGTAAAAGTAATTAATGCTTATTGAAGAACGTATAGTTCAAGATTTGGTGGTGTGTGAAGAATGGAGAGTAAAGGACGGAGTTGGAGTGGATGGTGCATTGGAGGTGATGGCTATTTTTAGTGAGACATGGATGATTCTGCTTTCTTCTGCCTAAGCGAGTTAGATTTTGAGGTGCAAATTGAATATTGCTAATGAACCCTTAATTACTTAGTTATGCAGAAGCGCATGCATTTGTGATTATAATTTTAACTATTAATTTATTGTTTCTATCAATGGATAGAAACTAGGAACAATTACAAAATTATATGAATTAGTAGGGCAATTCTCTGTTAAGAACTACCAAAATTTCAAATAAAATTGCGAGATATTGTACAAATCCTCTCCGGGAATAGATGTATTGGATTTTCTCTCAAACTTTTGGTACTTCTCTTGCACTAATTTATTTGGCTCTAGTTATATTAAGGAAAGAGATTACTACCTTCGTATTTTTTATATAAAAAGTAATTATTAATTATAAAAAATAAAGACTGATCTTTATATGTATTGATTGCTATTTTTTTATACTTGTATTTATTACAAAATTTATATTAACTAAATGTGTATTCATTATTCATATAAGTAGGTATATTAATTAATTTAATATATAAGTTATTAATTTGATCCTTTAATATTATGAATATTTTAAAATATAATATAAATTTATTTCTATAATTATTTTTTATTAATGTTGATGAATTAGTTATTTATTTTCTATAAAAAAATTATCAAAGGCAATATTTTCGAAGCTACAACTAACGTATTGAATATGGTGAGATTATAATTTACAAATGCAATTAAATAGTTCTTGTTTGGTAAATGTCCATAGTTAAATTTCTTTATCAATACATATTTTAAAGTAATATTTACATTTAAGATTAAAGTATATTTAGATAAACGATTAATTAATGTTTATTAAATAAATTTTCATTATTTAAAATTTTATTTTATATATTTAATTATAAAATTTATCAAAATAAATTAAAAATTTATTTTAGTAAACAATAACAAGAACTTATTTAAATAAGATAAAACGAGCTTACGAAGGTCGTAAATCATTTTTAAAAGTTTCTCATAATTTTTAAAAAAATATCTCCTAGTATAAATAAATTTCTTAATTATATTTAACAAATTAAAATTACTTTTTATCAAAATTAATTTTATTGATCTTTAAAACAAACAAAACTCTTTCTCGGATGTCCCCAAAGGAACACGCAAACTCTTTAAATATGATGATAGAGAGAGAATCACACTTAAAACCGAGCCCAATACTGTTCTGATGCATTTTTTTGGGTTTTAAGAGTGCGATTGTGTGTTGGTTCTTCTCAGCAATATATACATAATTTTAATGGATAAACAAAACACACAGCGTTTTACACATTGATTGATACGTTTGAGCATCTATTTAATTTATGTGATCCTTTTCAATTTATTTATTCAGAGAATATAAATTATACATATTAAAAAAATTAATCATTTTGTTATAATTATTTAATGATTTTTAAAATATATCCTTTATCAATGAATCTTTGTTTGCCTTTTGTATCACTTAATTAATGTAAATACTTTATTTATTATTCTTAGAATTTCTATATAAGTAAAATGATATTAGCGTAAATATAATAATTAATATTACTTTAAACTTTTACCCGAGCAAGTAAATATAAATATATTTTCTTTTCTTTTAAAAGATAAATAAAATAAAAAAATATTAGACAATGATAATTTAAGGAACAGGTTCGGTCTAAGACGAGCATACTTGACTCTCTATATAAGTTTTTGAGTTCAAATTTAGTTATGAAAAAGAAGTTATTGAAAAAGTTAACTTTACCGTGACTCATTTTTAATATCAAACAAAATTACTCTGTATAAATGAAACTCGTAATATATAGGGAAAAAAAAACCAAGAACTTTAAAAAAAAAAAAAAAACTATCATCTTAGTTTTCAATATTTTTTGCCAAATTAAGTGAATCCTTAAATTAAATAAAATTGTGTTATATTTTTAATATATATATATATATATATATATATATCAATAATTTTAATCTTTATTATTACTTAGACTTTAGTTTCATTACCAAACAAGTTGCTTCGCTTAGATGTTATACATAACATTTTATGATAATATGATGGTGGTGTAATTTGTCCTCAAAAAATTTTCAATTTCAAAATTTATCAATTTAATATTCAAATAATTTCCAATAAGTTAAATTAGTCTTCAAAAAATATCTAATCAATCAATTTAATCCTTAAAAAATCGTTGAAAAGTTTATTTGGTTTCAAAGAATTCCTAATCAATCAATCTTGCCCTTTTAATCTTAAATAAAAAAACATATATCAAAATTTTCTTGTTCTTTCTTTTGTTGTAGTTAATGAAATTGGTTTGTAGAGTCTAATTATGAGCTTGTTAGTTTAACATTGTGGTTGGGTGATTGGTTACAAATTCTGACATATTAAAGATGAAGCTTAGGTTGAAAAAATAAATAAAATAAAGAGAAAGGATCCCAATAATTTTTTGATGAGTCACTCCCCAAACTATAATAAATGAACATCAAACTTATGTATTTGATTGAGGTGTGTACTTAATTACCTTAAAATTTCTTTTATGAGTGTATCCAAAAATTTTATACTAATAAAAAAAAAACACATGACAAGTTATAAAAAAAGTTATTATATATAATTTATTTAAAATTATATTATTTATATTATTTGTTACATGATTCTACTACTACTATTATTATTATTATATATTTTGTATATTAAATTTCTTATTTTATTTTTTATAAATTTTTAGTTTCAAATAAAATATAATTCATATTTAAGTATTTTTTATTTATTATAATTAAAAATATGAAAAATATATTAATATAATAATATTATTTTATTTTTAAATTTTTGTTTATTTAGTTTTGATTGTGTGTTATTCTTATTCAAAAACTTGACTGTTCTTCAGCTTGTTTAAATGTAGCAAATATAATAATTTATCATTAAATAAATTTATTATTTAAATACATGTATAAATATTTTTTGTTTTAAATAGAATATAATTTTTATTTATTATAAATAAAAAGAATTATAACATAATATATTAATATAATAATTAAATATTAATAATAAAATAATATATTAATATAATATTATTATTTTATTTTTCAATTTTAGTTCGTTTAGTTTTAATTGCATTCGGATATTGTCTAAAGACTTAATCGCTCTTCAGTTTGTTCAAATGTAATAAATATAATAATTTATTATTATATAAATTTATTATTTAGACATATATCTAAATATTATTGGTTAAAATTTTTCATGTAAATACCCTAAAAAATTTTAAAGGTACCACATAATTTATCTTTGAGTTATCTTGCTTTACCTTATCAAATTAATTTTATTAATAATAACTAATATAAAACTTTGAGACAAGGTTGTATTATTTCAAGTTATTTATTTATAACTTTTAATTAAATTTGTAGAAATATAAATTGATTTATACTTTTTAATATTTAAAGCACTAATTAGAATGAAGATAATGCTTGCAAAAAGTCAAGAAACACAAAGTTCAAGAGTTAAGAGATGAATATAATTATTCCAATGCCTTAATTGAGTGTCAAATACACAATTACAAAATAGTAAAAGTTCAATAGATAATAGATATTCTAACATTTTGAATGAGCATTCTAACACTAGTTTAATATAGAAGAACTAATGTGCTTCTAGATTCTAGGTGTTCCCTTGCTTAGAGTGGATGTTCCAACATTCAAGGTTTGAACTGCTAAATAGCAGTGTGTGTCCAACACTTAAAATAAATGTTTCAACATTGACTTATTTGATAAAAATATTGAATAAAGATTTCTAATTGTTCCAACACTTATTTTAATGTATCAACACCCCAACATGACTCCAAACTCATGTCATGGAGCATATTTCAAATATAAAGTCATTTTGACATTTTCTGATTTTGAGTTTAAGAATTGTTCTCCTACTTTTCTCTTTTTTTTTTTTTTTTTTGTTTCTTAGACATTTAGAAAACTTTTTTGGTGTCTCTCTACATCTATATAGAATTTATTTGTTTCTTTTGTATCGATTTTGTTATTTTCTATACATATATGTGACTAGTTTGTTTTAGATTAAAATAAGATTAAAAATGTTTAAATCTCCTATATTATCAATAAATTTTATTTTTATTTATTTCTTCTCATGTAATAGAGTGAGTTTCTCTATTCTTAAAACATTCTTTAATTTAACCAACTTTAAAATGATGTTAAACTTGATTTTATAATTGAAAAACTGGTTGTTAAGATAAATATGAGTAATTCACCATAATTGTTGAAATGTTGAGGGAAACACTCAATGATTGTAAGGTTTTCTAATTTGTTGAACTATAAGGAATGTATTACCTAAAGAATTAGAGAATTTTAATTAATTGCATAGGAAGTTTTCATTCAAGAAATTGAAACTAACTTAATTTTAGAATCTTTAACTTTCATTACTTGTGTAGTAAAGTAAATGAAATAACTTTTAATATAAGAGATAAATACAAGTGAATTCAATCATAATCACTTTTATTTATTGAATTTTCAATAAATTTTGTGTTATGTTTGTTTTTTTACTGAAAAAATACAAAAAATATTTATTCCATTTTTTTCTATTTTCTACAAGCATGCCATTACATTACAATGTAAGCTCAAATATAAATCTAAAAAAAAAATATTGGTATTTTATCTCAATCCTCATAGGATTGATCTGATTTATACTTAGTAAAATGATTAGTGCTCTTGTCAGTGTTGGTTGCTTCTGTAAATTAGACAAATAAAATTTACACATTAACTATTTTGAAAAAAAAGATTCACATGTCAATTATTTATAAAGAGAAATGAACTTGATATGATTAAATAATTAATTTATTCAACAATAAATATGAAATTAT